TAGGTTGAAATTTAATGTGCAATATGTGCAGTTGCTTTCAACTACGTGTCTTCGATCCTATATCTTTGCTCGTAGGAATCAAGATTTTAATCATTTATCCTATTTAGTGGAAAAATCTTTTGAAGCGTGGTGTTTTTTGTAATGAGCCTGATCTTTTATTTCATAATCGTAATATTTTAATTTATTTATTGTTTCAATTTGAACTTGTCAAAAAATTAATAATTTGTTGTTACATAATATAGTAGAGATATAAAGTCTAAGTGACATGTAATTTTCGCTAATTTTTTATTATATGTTATGTTTTTTTGATAGGAATCATTCATGTTTATATCACTTGTCAAAAAAAAAATTTTGTATAAAAAATTTAGTTTAATTAAAAAGTAAAGTTTAAATATATGAATAGTCATGTATTTATTTATTTTTCAATCAGGTCACAATATTGATTATGACGTTATTTATTTACACTAACGTGATAGATACTGATCTAAGTTAATATAAATTATAAGTAAATTGAATAGAGAAAAGAAATATAAAAATAAGGGAAGACCCCACGATATTTCAACTATAGCACGAACGCGCTGACAAATTTTACAAGAATGATTAACTATAATTATAGTGGGTGCCTGCAAATTATATCCCAGAATTGTACTTGCCCTCATTTGGCCCCTATTTTGTGAAATTGAAAAGGAGTGAAACAGTGTTTTTTTGAAAAATGAATGCTCGAAAAGAAGGAAAATTTTTCGGTTATGAAATATTATGTGATTGAGAATAGGAGAGAGAAAAACGAAATGGAATGGAATGAAAATTAACGGGGGCAAGCTGTGGCTAATCATTTCAAACTTAACAAGTCAAAAGATTAATGGGCTATGAACCTCTGCCAGAATCACACCAAAATATGATCGACTGTGAACTTTTGCTGAATTAAAATCAAATTTTTAGTAAATATTGATAAAATTAATGAAATATAAGGTAGAAAAAGTTGTGGATCATATGAAATAAATTATTAAAATAAATTATTAATTTTGATTTAAATTTAAATTTAAATTTAAATTTTAATCCTTAACGAGGATGAGCTATATGTATTCTACTTTTTTAGAGGCGTTTACATTTTGTGGGTTTTTTATATTGATAATTTTGTCTTAAAGTAGCCTCATCTTGGAAACAATCTATACCCTTTAATTTAAAATAGATAAAAGCAAAGTAATATTATTTAGTACCAACAATATTTAATATCAGTTTAAGTGATAATATTCATGCATTAAATTATATATTCAATCAAATACAAATATTTATGATTCATTTAATAGGGCATATGATATTCAACACCGTTTATACTAGATATTATTATCATACTTATGAATTTATCAATATATGTAATTGAAAATAGAATTTAATCATCTATATATAATTTTATTAAATTGGTCTAATCGAGATGCAAGGATAAATAATTTTATAATTTGGGGGAAAGGGCCCCATCCTCTGTAAATTTTGAATTAAACTACTTTACCCAAAAAATTTTAACAAAATGGGTGAAATCCACTCACATGTGCGAAGGTCTCGCGTGAATAAAAAGATTCAAAAAAAAAAAGTGGGCCACACCCCTCTGAGTATTGGTCGGTCATTATGTCAAAAAAATTTGAACAGTATAGCATGGTTGGTAAATCTTCCATTGCTACCACCGTATAACGACACTATATTATGTTATTGTACCTGCAGTGGAAAAGGTAAGAATTGAACATGGATATATAGGAAATTAATGAAAATTGGGAGATGGTGTTTGGTGGGAATTATAATTAGATTTTAAGTAGATTTGATAAAAAAAAAAATTTTGAAATGTATGGTTAAAAAGTTGTGGAACTCATGAAAGATGTGGTTAATATTTATTGTTTGACTTTGATTCAGATTAAAATCTAAGCCAAACAAGAACAAATTATTAGCATTTATGACACATTTGATAAGATGAATTGAACATCAAATTAGCTAACCAGACACTTCTTGCACATGTGCTTTCTTAATTGTTCATTGCAATAGTCACCTTACGTGATATTCTATATGATGATTTTTCACTTAATGTATTAGTGTGATAATTTTTTCTTAACTAATTGTTACATCTATATCACATAGGACGATTGTGATAATAAGTGATTGCATATAGTATTATTTTTTAAAATAATCTAGTTGAGCCATGCGCACTAAATCTGCTTTTAAAATAAATAAAATAATCACCAATTTTCAATTAAAAATGTTACACGAGATATTAAAAAGGTGTATTGATGTTTGGTTAAACTCTTGTACAAAGAGAACGATAGTAAATACTAAATAATGATTTTATTTTAGATAAATAGCATCAAACGTCTTTAGCTTTTTCAGTTTGATTTGCACTTTCATTCCCAATGTTTTCCCAAGCTAGTTTGTCTCCAATATTTTGAAAATAGGAATCGTTCATCTAAATGAATTAATTCCGTCAATTTTTCCAAAATAAAAATAACTATTATAAATCATTACTTATCATTCAATATCGATCCAACTTAGTTATTTGACTTGAAGATTGGTACCAACATTTTTCACTATGTTTTTACTACCATAAATTAAATATGCCCCCAAGCCCTTCTCTGTCAATTCAAACCTTTCACCCAGTCGCTAACCTATCATTTTTAGTCCCTTTGTTCACCCTTCTTTTCCTGCCAGTAGTGCAAGGAAAGGACACTATTTATGCAATTTCGTCAAATTAGAAATTCGTAGGCATTGACAAAAGTTTCTTTTCTACTTGCTTTACTATAAGCAGCTGCGCCTCTTAGAAGACCTTGGTATCAAATAACCTTTTTCCGAAGCAAATAAATAAATGAAAAGACCCCACCATTGTGGGGGGCAGAAGTGCCCATTTTCCTACTCGTGAAAATTAATTCCATCAATTTTTTCAAAATGAAAATAATTATCAAGACATTACTTGAAGATTGGTACCAACATTTTTTACAATGTTGTAAGCATCTACGTCTCTTAGAAGATCTTGGTATCAAAAAACCTTTTTCCGAAGCAAAAAAATAAATAAATAAACGAAAAGACCTCACCGTTGTGGGGCAAAAGTGCCCATTTTCCTACACGTGAAAATTAATTCCATCAATTTTTCCAAAATGAAAATAACAATTAAGGCATTACTTGAAGATTGGTACCAACATTTTTAACTATGCTGTTACTATTACAGATATGCATTAAATCTTGAAACAATTTTGGAAAGAGTTAGATAACAAGTATACATCAAATGAGTAAGAAATTCTAGCATGGGTCCATCAAGTCCATAATGTGTAATATTAATATTAAATGAACATGTCTGTCCAATTTTATGATGTCTTATTCAAAATTACCCGCTGCTCGTTTCCATGAAGACAAAGATTGTCAAAGTCCGTGCTCTAGTGTCTCTATTTGGTATCTCCATTATATAAGGATAAAATTGGAAAGAAAAAATGTTTAATCTATTTAGTTACAAATAAATGTTTGATGAAATGTGTTATCGTTATTAGTCTTGATATTTTTTGATGGTTCGTGTTTAATCCTTTCATTTTATTTACAACGAACGATCTATTATCTGTTTCCTTATTTTATAATTAAAATTATCAGAATTTGTGATTTTTGTTGCATTTAACTACAAAAGATTGACAAAATGAATTTTAGCCGATCTTAATTTTGAAAATTTAGTATTCTTCTATCCCTACGAGTTAGTTGTTTCTTCATTTTGCACTTTTAATTTAAGACAAATTGAAACAATGTTATTGAGACCAGACATATAGTACATGTTTTAGCTCATCGATGAAAATTGTTACAAAAATATAAGAATCTCTGTCACTAAATTTATTTTATTTATTCTCCCCCCAAAAAAAATATTTGTTAGCATCTACTTTGTAATTATAAAAATTAATTGTTTATTTTATCTATCTCAATTAGAATTCTTACCCTCCGTTAGAAACATAAGTATACTATATTATATTTCTCTATCTAAATTTAAACCTTTAGAGCAAGAAAAATCGATCGATTTAGCTAATATTCATAAATTTACAATTTTTTTTTTTCATTTTATGGATATTAAACCAAGAAAGATACTATTTACATAAATAAAAGTTATGCTAACACAATACATCATACATACAACAATTGCTTCTCACAAAATACGTTGGATTTATACAATTTTTATAATATATTATTTTATAAATTTAGTGAATTAACTAATTATTTAAGTCCCTATTTCAACTTCATTCTTTCAAAAAATATATATATCCTTATTTTTTAACCACACATTTCCTATCAATACACTATTCAAAAATTCATTCTTATGAAAAGAATGAGGCCCAAAAAAGGGCTTAATATATTATCTTAAAATCCGAATCAATCAAATATATTATTTAACCAAAAGTATTAACTATCGAATATGAAATTATAACGATTCTATTGTAGACCGACTCTACGTTAGTCTGGTTCTTCATATGAATTAAGTAAGGACCTTTTTCAAAGTTGAAAAAAAAAAAAAAAAATCTATGGACCTTAATCCACGAGAAGTCAATATCCTATCCGTCAATAAAATATTAGAAAAAATAAACGATTTCTTTACTATTTCTTCTAAAAAATTTCAAGTTACTAGTTACATTGTCTTCTTAAAAAGAAATATATATATATAATCGACATTCATTTCTTCCCTACCACTTCATTTTGTTTTTTGTTTTTTTGGTCAATGCATCTCAAATCTAGTTAAGTCTCACAATTTTGATGATGGTTAGGTAAATGAAATAAGCTCAAACAGGACAAAAATTTCTATTTAAAATTGTTAATATTTGTCTTGTTATCAAAGACTCAAGAAAACCACATGATCACAACGCAAATTTAAAAATATACAGAAGAACGTTTAAATTCCTTATATAACCAGTTTTGGTGTTATGAATGTCAATTTCCCTTCACCATTTTCCCCCCAAATTCATCTCTTTTCTGGGCCTTGTCTACCTTCTTAATTCTTAAGTCCAAAACAGGACTCTTTCCACCAAAATATGCGATCTATATTACCCACCAATTACAGTGTTTCAAGAATTTACGCCTGGAAAACACCAACAATGGCTTTGGAAGCCTACTCATCACAAGCATCCGATACAATCCATACAGACGTTCTCTCCCAAGCAAGGTTATCTTGCTACAAGGTAGTCTTAACTTAAGTATTTGATTTTATCTTTTTATTTTTATTTTGTTTGGTACAAATCTGCAGATATGGTTATTGGATATCAAATTTTTGATTGCAAAACTTCAAATTGACTTCAAGATTGTTAAGAAAGGCTATTTTTTCCATGTACAAAAGGCACGTGATGCATTCTATGCGTGTATAGAGAAGGAATCGAACAAAAAACCCACAGAAATTGCGTCTGTGGGGCTACTTTACCCAGCGGAATGCAAGAAAAACCGAGAGGCATATGTGAAGCAATGCAGACCCACTTGGGTAATTTTACTTCTATGAGATATTCTTGCGAATTTGGGGTTTATTTTTGTTATGTGGGTTTTCATTTTTTGGGGGATTTTGTTTGTAGGTGAAGCATTTTGATAGGCAGTACTGTGCAAAGAAAAGGGTTCAGAGGCTATTGGATGATAATGAGTCGAGGAGAGGTCCGTTGTCGTTACCACAGCCTTATACTTTTAAGTCCCCTCCTTCGTGATGATTTTTTTTATAATATTTACATAGGAATATTGGAACTTTTGGCTACATAAATTCTGGAGTGATTTCTGTGGTTAGGAAATTGGTTGTTCAGCCAATGTATAGTGATCAGCAACATAATTTTTTACACTTATTTTGAATCAATGTCTGAAATATTCAACCGATGGAAGGAATAGAAGAGTTTTCAAAGCTTCAAAATAAAGCGACGGTTACTGACATTGTTATTTCGTCCTCTAGAAATTGCTAGGAATTCCTCTTATTAGTTGATTGTGCTAGATAAAATTAGCTCTTTAGTTTTGGGAGGAAATAGATAAACTTTTGTACTGGATTAGTTTCACAGAAACTTATGGCCTTGTTGGCTTGGGTTGAATTTGGCAGGGGTGTAAAGCTCGGCCCCTTCTGGAAGATGCGAGTGAATACTCTATCGGTTATCCTGGTAACTTAAGCTCAAGACTCTTGCTTCAAGCAAAAGTTCAAGTGAGAACAAGAAGTTGTTGATGTGTGAAATTATTATGCCTCTGCTAATCTAAGAAGGCTGTTTGCTTTTTGGTATTCACGTGCATACATAGCTAGGTACCTGGAGTGGACTTGTTGAAATGTAGCACAAGCAAGAAAAATAAACTCTTGTATTGATTTTGATTGCATATCTATGGATCTTCACTTTTTAATCATGGAGATTATCCGACACTAATGTCATAATGTATAGACTATGTGATGCAGCACCAAGTGGACAATTAAGGGAGAGAGAAAACGGATCTATAAAGAAGAGGGAATTAAGGGGGGATGAGTAGAAACTAGAAAGAGGAGAATCAACAAAGAAGAAGAAGAAGAAGTAAAAGAATGTAGGAAGAGAGAAATCTAGCCACAAGCTACCTAAAGTTTTATTCAATCATCAATTACAAATATTACATCGCAAACTAGGTTTAAATAGTAAAACAAATTCTAACGAGATTGGGCCTAGGCCAATACAAGCCCAATTCCCTAAATAAGAGTCCAAGATAATAAATAAAGTTTAACTATAAAATTAAATAAATAAATAAATCAGATGTCCTCATCAACTTTCTCGAGGTGGGAGAAAAATTCGACCCCGTCGAGTGGATATATCACTATAGGCTGCAATCAATCTCCCAACCATAAGTTGAGTGGTTGGGCAATCTTCTTCCGACGTCTGTAGAAATGTGTCAGTTGAGGTCTGAATTTGGTGTCCTCACCAACCCCCCTGAGTGGACGGGAGGCGATTTGGGCCAAAGAAAATCATGCTGACTCTATAAAGTTCCAATAAATATGGATCCAATTGCTGTAGTTTCTCTGGAGATCTATGTACAGTTAGAATCTGATCGATCAACCCAACGAACAAGGAAGCGTTGAACCTTTTTATCATTAGTTAACATAGTTTCTTTATCTAAAAAAATCAATTTTATCTTTGTGTGCTGAGCGGTGGTTAAGTGGCCAAAGAATTAGGATCAATGTTCACAAAAGGAGGTAACAGAAGATCATATGAGGGAATGAAATGACCTGTATAAGCAACTAGGTACATGGAAGTAGAGTGGTAACCAAGGTGTGGTGGGATGTCAACAACATATGCATTTGAACAAACTTGCTTTAAAATTTTAAAAGGACTAGCACTACGGGTTTGCAATTTGGAGGCAAGTCCATGTAGAAGCCGCTCTGACCTAACTCGGACCATAACGTAATCCCTAATGTTAAACTCAACATGTCGTTTATGCAAGTCAGCTTGGAGTTTATATTTTGCATTACTGGTTTTGAGTTGTTTTATTGGTCTCAATATGCAAATCACGAAGATATTGTGCAAATGCTTCGACTGACACTGACACTCTAGTCTGTGGGGACATAGGAATGAGATCTAATGGCTTCTTAGGCTTATACCCATGAACAGTTTCAAATGAACTTATACCTAATGAACGATTCATGAAACTGTTATACACAATTTGAGCTATAGGAAGGATCAAATCCCAATTTCAAAGAATTTTCCGAACCAAACATCATAACTAATTACCAAGACTATGATTAACTATTTCAGTTTGACCATCGGTGGTAGGTCGTAGAAATTTCAATTTGGTACCCATCTTTTGTCACAAAGTTCTCAAAAAATGGCTAGTGAAACAAACATTTCTATCAGACACAATGGTCTTAGGAAGTCCATACAATTTGACAATCTCATTAAAGAACAACATGACAACCTTAGACGCATCTGAGGTCTTGCTACAGGGGATAAAATATGCCATTTTCGAGAAACGATCAACTACCACAAAAATAGAATCATTTTTCTTTGGGGTGCTTGGAAGCTGTAACACAAAATCAATACTAGCGTCTTGCTAAGGACAATTAGGGACGGAAAGAGAAGTGTATAGGCCTGTGATTTGCCTCTGCTGTTTGGCCAATTGACAAATGTTACGTGTACTAACAATCTTAGCCACATCTTTTTTTCAAACTTGGTCAATAGAATTGGCGTTCAACCTTTTCTATGGTCTTATCACGCCCAAAGTGACTGACTAAACCTCCCATATGAATTTTCTACACTATGAAATCCCGCACTGAAGTTCGAGGGATGCACAATTTATTGGCTCTAAAAAGGTAACCCTCTTCAAGTCGGAAGTCATATGTGGCATATAACTGTCCACCTTGCAAATCAAGAAAGATATCCTTAAAATTGGGACACGTTTCATAATCTTCCTTTAGTCTTTCAAAACTTATGACCTTGACACTCATGATCGACAAAAGGGAGACACGACGACTTAAAACATCAGCCGCTTAGTTCTCCACTTCCTTGTGTTTTAAAACAAAAGAATAGGCCTGCAAATATTCAATCCAACGACAATGCGTAGAGCTCAACCTTATCTGGGAGTTGAGGTAACTGATGGTCTCGTGGTCCGAATAAAGAACAAACTCCTGGGGCAGCAAATAGTGGCGTCAATAGTGCCAACCGCATACAATTCCTTATCATAAGTTGAGTACCGTTGTTTGGCATCATTTAACTTCTCACTGAATTAGGCAACCGGGTGACGATCCTGATTCAAGACTCCACCTATTCCTACCTCGGAGGCATCACGCTCGACTTCAAAGACTTTGAAAAAATCGGGAAGACGCATGACAGAAGCATCTGTCATTCGCTTCTTGACTAACTTAAAGGCCTTAGCCGCCTCTTGTGTCCAATGAAACTCCCCTTTCTTCATACACTTCATAATAGGTGCTATAATGGTGCTAAACCATTTGATAAAGCGACGGTAAAATGTAACTAAGCCGTGAAAGCTCCTGATGTCATGAATAGTTTTAGGTTCAGACCAGTCAAGAATTGCCTGAATCTTGGTAGGGTCAGCAAATACCCCTGTTGAAGAGACAATGAACCATAGGAAAACGACTCTATCAGTGAAGAAGGAGCACTTCTAGACGTTAGCATGCAGATTAGTTGCACGTAGGGTAGAACAAACTTGTATGAGGTAGTCACAGTATTGTTCCTTAGTCTTACTATAGATGAGAATATCATCAAAGTAGACAACGAAAAACTTACCCATGAAAGGTCGAAGAGTTTGTGTCATTACCCGCATAAAGGTACTCAGCGCGTTGCTTAGCTCAAAAGGCATGACCGGCCATTCATAAAGACCATCTTTCGTCTTAAAGGCGGTCTTCCACTCATCACCTTGATGTATTCTAATCTGATGGTATCCATTCTTTAAATCAATCTTCGAAAAGATTGTAGCGCTAACCATCATATCTAGCATATCATCAAGTCTAGGAATTGGAAAATGATATTTCACTTTGATCCTATTGATGGCACGACCATCTATACACATTCTTCAAGAACCGTCCTTTTTAGATGTCAATAGGGCGGGGACTGCACACGGGTTTAGACTCTCATGAATGAATCCTTTGTGAAGGAGTTCATTTACTTGCCTTTGGAGTTCAGTATGCTCGGTGGGATTCATCCCATAACGAGGCAAATTTGGAAGGGACTCTCCCGAGACGAAGTCTATAGCATACTGAATGTCCTGTGGAGGAGGTAATTGGTCGGGTAGGTCCTCCGGGAAGACATCCTGAAACTCTTGAAGGAATGACTAAACTTCAGCAGGGTTCTCTATTGTGGAGTTTAATGGAACCTCCATGACGACAATAGCAAACACCACCGAGTCACCAACAAGTATACGCTCAAACTCCATTGGACTAATAATATTCAATCCCTTTCGTTCCACACTTTTCTTTGTTTCCTGTGAGCCAACAGGTTTTGGGGACAGTAAGTTAAGGTGAATCTTCTTTCCATTAAAAATGAAAGAGCAAGAATTGAATCGACCATAGATGGTTACATCTAGGTCAAATAACCAAGGTCGTCCCAAGATGATGTGCTCGACATCCATTGAAATGATGTCATACCATATATGGTCTTTATACTCGAGGAATGGGATAGGGACGAGACAACGCTCCTTGATCGATATAGAAGAAGTATCTACCCAGGAGACGTTATATGGCTGAGGGTGAGGAACTGGCTTCAACCTTAGATGGGATACGGTAGCCATCGAAACCGCATTAATGCAGTAGCCACTATTCACAATAACTTTACAGCCTTTATTATTGATCTTGATGTAAGTGTAGAAAATGGCATGAATGCCAATCATCGGCATCGTTGGGCTGGGTAAGAGTGCAATGGACGACACCGACTCTAGACGTATTTGGGGTAAAAGGACTGGTCTGAATACAACCTAAGAAGGTACCTGCACTATCTTCTAAGTTATCAAACTCTTCTTGCTTAGCTTCATAAACCTGGTCCTCTAATAGCTCGTCAACTATACCTTCACGTTCTTCCATTACTAGGGATCGGCTAGGACACTTAGAAGAAATGTGACCAAACCCTTACAATTGAAACATTGCAAATAGGAGGACACCCCCCTTGAAACCTCAGGACCTTTATCTTTACTATCTGATGCAGGGGTAGCATTAG